GTGATCTCAGCTAATCAGTAAGTTTAGTAATAATTTTACAGAGATAAATCAGTGCTAACACAAATCTTTCCGGTCCTGTACTTTTTTCCAAACAAAGAAGTTCAAACACAGAAAGAACACAGCTCTTTCAGAGATGCAAAGAAGAGGGATAAAGTCTATTCTTTCCTTTTACAGAAGAGGAAACAGAAGCCCAGAGCTTTTTCATACCCATTCCAGTACTCTTTCCCAGACTATCTCTCCTACAGTTTCTAATCACTAATGCAGTAAAAACTCATCTATTTTGAATTATATTTTTTTAAGTCAACTACAGTGGAAAAATAGTGTGAGTAAACTGGAGCGGTATACATATATTACTGTGACTAAATCTCTCCTCATTCAATGAGTTGGCACCCATATTGTTCTTTTCCTACTTTGTAGTTCAAGACCTGATGGGAGAAGGAAAACCTAAAATCCTGCTAACTTTGATAGGTTCCCCATCACCTGATAGCACCACTCAACATTTTTGTCTTCCTTAAAAATTCAAATACTCAAATTCCCAATCCTTTACCACTGCCCAAAACGTATGTTCACCAAAAGACAATGACTTACCTTTTTAGTAGGCAATTCTAGTAGATAAATTTTGTTGCTATGTCCAGTGTAGTAAAAAGAGTGTGGGGCTTTCGAGTCAGATCTGCCTTAAAATCCATACACTCTCATTTAGAAACTCTGAGAATTTAGGCAAATTACTTGAGGCGTACTTTTCTCGCTTGTAACTGTGTCTCAGAAAATCGTGATGTTAGGCTAGACAAGCCTAGCATAAAGTGGGAGTGTTCAAAAATGGTATTCTATTCTCATCTTTCACACCACTCCAAACAAATACAAAATATCTAAGTTATAAGCATAATTTCAAGAGGTTTTTCTTTTAAAGGCTATTTTTATGTCTACTTCTATCAAGTAGTAGACAGAACAGTTTACCAGCTGGCACCTAGTGAACAATAACTGGCCACATCAGTGACAGTAATTGATAAAGTGTGGCAAAGACTTGCAAATGACCAAATAAAAGACATCTTCTTTTCTTTTAGAAATTCTTCTCCGCTTTCAAAAAAACTCCTCTCTCTTTTACTCTTAAACTTAATGGCTTTCACAGGCCTTTGAAGTCAAAAGATCAAATAAAAAGGGATCAAAATATTTGTGGCAAATGGAGCCCAACAGAAGATAACCACGGTCTGCTGGAATCAGCGATTTCCATAGGCGATTAATAAGGGTACAGAATAATGGTGATCATTTGAACCTAGAGGGGACCTTTTGAGGAAGGAGTTCTCTACACTCTTTCTATTCTCCAATTTATCACCTATCGTACAGGAGAAGTAAGGATGCTGCTGCTATTTAAAGTCATTATCTAAATAATGTATGAAATAAAAAACTCACATTTGCTGAACATTTTAGAGAGTGTGACATGCTTTTCCAATTAACAATGAAGAATGGAATCCAGGTGTCTTGATCATCATTATAGCAATATAGGAAAAAGTGGCAATATTTCAACACTTTCATAAACTCTAGTGTAATTATTTTATATTTCACTTAATTACATTATACCAAGATGAATGTTATAACAATTATAATATCTACTACTTATCAAGAACTGAATATAAGCCCTATACTCTGCTAAATAATATTCCACATTTTCTATTAACTCCTTCTATATTCAAGTGTGTTTTTATCTTGACGCTACCGATGCTCCACTGAGATCCCATTTTTCTCACACACTTTAGAACTTTGTTCCATAAATTATACCCACTTTTTTTATAGCTCCCTTTCCAAACAGTCTTTTTGTATCATGACTCCTAACTCCCTCTGCCATTCTTGGAAAAATTAAGCTCTCATTCCTCAATGATCCTAAAGTATTTTGTTCATACTGCTAATATGAATAAGGAGATATTCTAGGGGAAGTAGTATGACTGAAAGAAAGGGTACCAGCTTCAAAGTTGACTCTAGCATTTTCAAGCTGTGTGACCTTGGGCATATTCCTTGACCTCTCTGAGCCTCCGATTCTTGATCTGTCAAATAGGAAAAAATTAACAACCCATTCTACAAGACTGTGATGGAGAGTAAATAAGAATGAATGAATATAAAGCACACATAACTGGTTCTTAATACACTGCATTATAATTTGTTGTGGGATGGTCTGTTTGTCTACTCAGATCAGTGGTTCACAGTTTTTTCAGGATTTTTGAAAAACTTCAAGAAATCCAAATATTCCTCTCCCCACTCACTGAAATTACTGCCCTTGATTATAAATTCCATGAGGTCATACCTCCCCATTTATGTATCTCTGAATCTGCAATACCTCGCCCAGAACCCTTCATATATTAGATGCTCAATATATGTTTGTGACGCTTAAGAGAATTTAGCTGTAGATGTTAAGTAGAGAAATTACAGGATATGCTTACTTTCTATTAGAATTTAACAATTTCTTTTTTCAACAGTAAAAACTATTTTACAAAATCACATTTCCTGGAGTATTTTTCTAGCTACATTCCCAGTATAATCTGATTAATACCTAGAAAAAGTATACCTATGTTTATAAGCCCTTTCCTTCTGAGAAGCTCAAGGATTTTTATAGACATTATCTCATCAATCCTTAGAACATCACTGAGGTAACTGGAGATGGAAAGGTAAAAGATGAAATATGAATCCATAATCCATATGAATTCATAAATTCCACTTAGCAAAAATTCTATCTAATTTTTCAACTTATGTGCATTTTGCCACCATTTTCTTCTTGAATCCATGTAAATTACCTATTTACTCATTGCATTTGGATATGCTGGTCTGGAGCAAAAGTGTTTTTACTATTTGCTTAAGAAAGCAAAATTTTCAGGAAATGTTAAAAGTAGTAAGTAAAACATAGAACAATATAAAAATGACATCTCTAATACCCCAATAGAAAACTGTTCAGGTTACTGACCATAGGTTTACTTCAGAGTGCAAAGTATTGAAGAATTAAACACATTATTTTCTTCAAACTTTAATAATCACAGATGAACAGCCCAGTCAAGCTTTAACTTCTTTCTGCTCCCCATCATTTGATTCTTTTGTGCTAGGACCCTACGGTAGGCCTTGCTGATTTCCCATCCAGGAGCCACGCTCCCCCTTTTCCTTCTTAACAGAATCCTACTTCTATTCAGGCAACACTGGGCTGAGCCCCCGGAGATGAATCATGATTGATCTTAGCCAATCGTGGTAGTTCTGCTCCCCTTTGTCAGTAACTGGTCTAAGAGTGAACCTGTAGTCTAGAACTGGCCAATAAACGGAAATTAGTTGCTGGGGATTCTTTCCTCCCAGATGAGAGGGCAGCAAGAGGAATGGGCTCTTTTGCCCCCAGCCAGTTTCTTTGCACTTGGGAAGCTGCCAGGTTGGACCTGATGCTTAGAGTTGTGCCACTATATTGAGACCATGAGGGGAAGACCAAGAGGAGTTCAGTGATCTTGACTCTGTATCCAGATATAACAGGGTCTCTATCTTCAGGCTTCCTGTTATGTGAAATAAATGTTATTTTTGTCTAAGTCACTGAGGGTCAGGTACTCTGTTCCTTAAAGTTGAAAGCATCCTAAGTAATACAGACAGATCAATAAATCAAGCAAAAAGGGAAATAGAGGTTAATTATTGAGCACTTACTATAATCTCATTTAGTCTTCACAGCAGCCTAATAAAAATGATTAATATTTTTGTTTTGTTTTTATTAAAAACTAAGGCTTAATAAAGTTATACAGCTAACAGCAACAAAGCTGAAGTTCCAATCTAGATCTGACACCTAACCTTGCATTCTTTTTAAAAATTCAAAATCTGGGGCTGACCCCCTGGCTGAGTGGTTAAGTTCATATGCTGTACTTTGGGGGCCTGAAGTTCACAGGTTCGGATTCTGGGTGTGGACCTACACACTGCTCATCAAGCCATGCTGAGGCAGCATCCCACGTAGAAGAACTAGAGTGACCTACAACAGGATATACAACTATGTACTTGGGCTTTGGGGAGGGGAAAAAAAAGAGGAAGATTGGCAACAGATGTTAGCTCAGGGCCAGTCTTCCTCAACAACAACAACAACAACAACAACAACAACAACCAGCATTAAAAAAAAGCTGGCAATTTAAAAAAAATAAACACCGAAATCTCCCTTCCTCCTTGTTTCTTAAAAAACAAACAGCCTAGTGACATACTGGTTGAGTTCATGCGCTCTACTTCAGCAGCCCAGGGTTCATGAGTTTGGATCCCAGGTGCAGACCTATATACTGCTCATCAAACCATGCTGTGGCGGTGTCCCATATACAAAAAATAGAGGAAGATTGGCACAGATGTTAGCTCAGGGGCAATAATCACCAAAAAACAAAAACAACAAAAAGAACCAAACAAATAAACTGATGTGTTACTAGCTAACAGAATTTAGGGAGAGCTAAGGAATATCAACTCTTCTTATAACCTTGTTACAAGGATCTATAACCTTGAACTCTATTCTGTATCAAAGTTATATGAGGGAAAAGGCAAAAATATGTGTGTGTATATATATAAAAAGTTCTAGAAAGTCTAGTGCAATGGCAAAAATCCTACACAAAAAACTGGCATGGATTCTAAGTGTAATATTCAATTTCTCAAGAACTAAAAAATATGAAGTCAGTCACAAATATTTCTTAAACTGAATGAGTAACCTCCTTATTTCAAACTATTTCATTAACCAAATATCTATCAATATAGAAACCACAAAGTTAACACTTCCTCAATTCTCATCTCTTCATGAAAACTGATTCAGCTTAAGTCTTGGCAACAAAAAAATCACATAAACACTAAGAATCAGCAAGCTTATTTTTTATTTAGAAATTTCCTAGCACTGGTTTTCAAAAGCTATTTATAATGCCATCTCAACCAGAAGTATGTTCACCTGATATTGCCTTTATTAATTTCTAATTGAAAATTAGAGCATTACAAAATGGGCATGCCAGATTTCTGACCTGATACACACAACTTACCTTTCCACATGCTCTGCAGTGATGCCTCCTTTTGGTGAATGTAAACCTGGCTTCACATTTCATGCAATTTGGAGCCTGAGAATCCGGTACCCATACTGGAGCCACCTCACCCAGAGTGGTAAATGGCTTTCTGGCAGAAATTCCAAACTGACCAGCTCTTAGATCATTATCTGGGCTATCTGGAGCTAATGCAAGGCACGGTCTACTGGATATCCCAGCCTCATAACTTTCTAAATGTTCCCCATTTGTGTCAGCAATAGAGATGTTTCCCAAAGAGGCATTGCATACATTGGTTGCTGAGTTGTCCCCTAATTTTGCTTTCCCAAGAACATCATTTTTGTTTTTAATATTATTTCCATTGTTTGCAGGAAGGTCATTTTGTAAATGCTCTGATAATGGCTTTGGAATTTGAAGTTTAAGATTAGAAGGTTGCTTAGGTCTTGCACCACCAAAAGGAACACTGATAGACTGCAGGTTTGCCACTATCTTGGGTGAAGATTGCCCAAGCACTGATGGAACCTGACTACAGAAACTGTGTAAATAATTTTTCTTCATTAGGTCACCAGTGCTGTTTGAAACTAGTCCACTCCCTTCAGTGGCTTCATTTCCTCTCTGTTCATAAATATTTGAGTAGCATTCTGACTTGCTCTCCTCTATTTCCTTTTCTTCTGTTACTGAATCTTCTTTGGAGGGTAAAGTCTTTGGAATAAAACAAACAACTGGGCTCTGCATTCCATAGGAATCACAACAATTAGATAGAGAATTTGCTGCTGGTGTATCCGTAACAGTGGAGAAATCACATCCTTCACTTTCATTCATACAAGTTCCTTTTAAATCTAGACCTGCTTCTGCCGTTCTATCACTCTCTCCTCCCCTATCATTGTAAGTGTCCTCAGGCTGATTCAACTGCAGGAACTTCTCATTTTCTTTATTTCCCTGGCTGTCATTCATCTCATTTAGTTTAGTCAATTTCCAATTAGTCATCTCCTGAGATTCAGAGAAATGCTCTGTCATATTAAGAAGTTCTGTAGTGCCAAGAATTTCCGCATGTTTAAAACTCTCATTTTCATCAGCTCTAACTTCAGTGGGCACAAGGCAATCTGAAAACTGTTCACAGCTATCATCCCTTCCAGACCCATTAGGCGTGTCTGGTTTGAGAAGCAAAGGTAAACCAGACTGCATGGGTTCTTCAGTTGTTCTCTCCTCTGCTGGCTCTTTTTTCATGAAAATCGCCTCACTCAAGCAGGAAAAGGAATTTGGACTTTCCACATCTGTCCTAGGAGAGCCGTTTTTGCCAGTGAGAACCTCATCTGGTATATAGTTCTCTTGCTTTTTCACAGCAGGACTTCCATCTGTTCCCTGGGAAGAGATCACCGAATCAAATGCTAAACTTGTAATCGCAGACATGGAGGGGTCTCTACCTATATTTTCATCATCCTTTAATTGTGACATGGAACAGACACTGGCTAGATTATCAGATGAAGTAGTACATACACGTTTAACAGGATCCTCCTCTGCATTTGGTCTATTCAACAGATCCATTTGTTTCTCTGAGTTTATATCTTTTTCAGTGGACCCATTTATACTAAAATTAAATTGATCAGTTTGTCTGTATTCGTCATCCAGTGAACAGCTAAAAGTATCCATGAGGGATTGACTATTATAATTATTACAATCCTGTAAATCGCTTTGTAATGTCCTTTTATCACAGTTATGCATGACGGCTACAACAAGAACATTCTTCTCTTCTGGCAGATAAGTTAGGTTTCCACATTTCTTCTCTCCTACTTCGACAGCACTGCATTGATCATCTCGACTACAGTTCCTTCTAATTAACTGATCTTCTGCAACAGCATTTTCATCAATCCACATCGTGGTGATCTCTGGATTTAGACTACAGTCCTGTCCATTAGCACAATGGTCCTCTCCCTCTGTGGTGAGAGTAACTGAATGAGCCAGGGAGAAGACCTTCAGTTGTGGCTGTGACTCATGAGAAACCGCAGGTTGGCGAGAAGGGGAATCTAGAATCTTATTCCACTTTGTATCCAATAAAATAGGAGAAACTGTTTCATCTGAAAAAATAAATAATTACAGTAAGATTACTGGTAATACTGGAAAAGCTAGGACTGAGTCAATCAACTACATTTGCAAATATACTCTGAAAATAAAATATTCCTAAGATATCTGAAAATAGAGTATTCTTAGGATATGAAGTTTCCAATTTTTAGCTAAGAATGAGAAAATATATTTGACTGTTCCCTGTATTATACGTCATCAAATGGTAATATCCCAGAAGATTCCAAACAACCAAAGAATTCTACACCAATCTAGTAACATAATTAAAGTGGCCCACAGGCTGTACTAGAGAGTGGGGGGCTGGAGGAGAGGGTGTCCAGCAATGTGGAAGGCCTTGGATTGGCCCAGCACAAGACAGACTAGAAGCTAATCTAAGATAGAAAACAAGTCAGAACAGTGAAAACAATGTAGTAAATGAGCAGAAAGGAAAGCAAAGGAATTTCTGTAGAAGTAGACAGATGCTCTATAATCTACATGATGACTAAGATGTGGGTTACGTGGCTATATCTGTCAAAACCATATCGTTAAGATCTATACTTTTTAATGTATGTAAATTTTATCTTTAAAAAATATAAAAAAATAACAATGAAGCAGGGAATGAGGAGTGGATGAAGATATATATGAAACAAAAATGACAGAATGTCAATCACTGCTAAAGCTGCGTACTGGGTACACTAGAGCTTATTATACTATTCTGTTTACTTTGTATGTATTTGAAATTTGTCCACACTAGTAAGTTTAAAAACAAGTTTGCTATAGGATATGAAATTCTACTCATAACCATGTCATAACACATTATTAATTAGGTTCATATTTACATTATTATCTGAGGACATTTGGCAAAAAGTATTCATTGTCTTATTAAGTCAACCCACTTATATTCTATCTAAAACATAATTTCCCATAATGTTTCCATTTACTTTTTAACAGATCATGACTATGATGGTTATTTTTCCAAGTTATAGTGTTATGTGTATGTTTAATTAGAGAAATAAGAAATACTACACTTATTCCTTTTTCTGCTTTCTTCCTACAATAAATCTCATCTCCACAGTCCTGAAATTATGCAAATATATTTTCCTCTCAGTAGTAACATTAATCTTTAATGCTCCCTTAGCACACTGTTCCTATCTCTGTTAAAGCATCTGCTACACTGTAATGCAATGGCTTATTTACCTGACTCTTTCAGGCAGAAACCATTACTTTCCATCAATGTAAGTCCTCACTTTGCATAGTGCCTGGTACGGAGGAGGTACACAATAAATACATGCTAAGTGAGTATCTACCACAGTGAGTGTGAGGAACATGAAGATTAAATGATAGCTCTGGCCTCCGAGAAGTACATAATCTAGTTGGAAGAATAAGAAATAGATAGAATACACATAAATATCTAATTAGCAGTACAGGACAGCATAAGTATTTGAAAACTGTTATGCAGTAGTAGAAAATAAATTCAGAGGAGAAGGATATTTTACAGGCTGAGGTAGCAAGCTTGAATTCATGGAGGCAGGAGGAAATGGGCTGGGCTTCAAAGACAATTTTATGTTAAGCTTGGAAAAGAGGGCATTTACAAGGAAGGGAACAAGGACAAGTATAATCCCAAAACAACAATCTGAGAGAGCAATAAGTAAATCAGTTTGGGTTGAAAAAAATTAGTTTAAGGAAGTAGTTAAAAAAAGCTAGAAAGGGCAGACAGTAAAAGCTTTAAAACATCAGATTATGTGGAGAATGAATTTAGTATACTCTGAGTGTTAAATCCTGAGTTTACCAAATCTGGGCTAGCAGAGACTTGAGATTTAGCAACATGTGCTTCCTTTAAAAAAAATAGAAATCTTATTTCCAAGCTGGTTTCTAGAAACAAAAAGGAAAGAGTGCTTCTTACAACAATATTTAACAATATTCAAACATGAATGCTCAGGTATTAAAAACTTCATTTTTAATTTTAATTTAACTTTAATTTAATTTTAATTTTAATAAATTATTCAACTACCTGCTGTGTGGGCATAATGTTTATAGTCTAGTGTCATCACAGTCTGTGTGTGGTATATTTTTCATTTAAAGGAGGAAATTAGGGGCCAGCCTGGTGGCACAGTAGTTAAGTTCGTGTGCTCTGCTTTGGCAGCCCCGCATTTACAGGTTCAGATCCCGGGCACAGACCTACACACTGCTCATCAAGCCATGCTGTGGTGGTGTCCCACAAACAAAATACAGGAAGATGGGCACAGATGTTAGCTCAGCGACAACCTTCCTCAAGCAAAAAGAGGAAGATTGGCAACAGATGTTAGCTCAGGGCCAATCTCCCTCACCAAAAAGAAAAGAGGAGGAAATTAACACAAAATGAGAAATCACTTTATTTAAAAAATACTTGCAAAGGCATCAGGCCAGAAGTGGTAGTTTTAATGCATCTGATACTGAGATTAAAAAAGAAAGTTCAAAAGAAATGAACAATGTAGTTACAAACAAGTAGCTGGCTTCCGAAATTTTTCTCCTTCTAAAGGAGTTATCTTTTTGTCAGCAAATGCTATATTTTCAAACTAAAATGACAATTTTAACTGATTCAACAAAACTGTATTGAAAATCAACTATATACAAAATCCCTTCCTAGAATCTACAGAAGTCACAAAGAGATTGATGTAATGAACTAAGTTTTATTAAGTAGAGTCAGTGGTATTCTAGAAGTATAGAATTCACATGATTAGATGTAGCACCTGTGTAAATATCTCATGACTTAAATAACTGTGATACATAGAGGGCCAAACCAAAGAAAGGATTGAGAAAATACTTGTATAAATGATTGAAACTCAGAGGATAATACATCTTCCAAAGCCCACCTAGATAAAATAAAATCCCAAATGATTAGATTTCACATTTACACGAATCAGGAATGAGCCTAGGTTACGGGTAGCGTTGGGTCATCAATGGTAAACCATGAGAAGAACAGGCCATTCCCGGGATCCTTCGTCTCCCTTTTCCCTACTACCTTCTCTTCAGGGCTTGCTCTATCATACACTTAAGACAACAAAATCAAAACTAATCTCTATTCCCAACTGCCATCAAAGAACAACCTGAATCACTGTATATAATAAAGGTTTGGGGACCATTACTAAAATCATGGGCTTTAGATGGAAATATATCACTTTGTAAACTTGTTCCATGCCATGCCATTTCCCATTAGAACAGAGAACACCAGGCAAGAGGGTAAAGTGAAAGACAGAGATTTAATTATGGCTTATCCATTCAAGCCATACCGAGAGGGGAATTTAAGGAAAAGCTTTACCTAAATGAAGTGAATTTTAAGCAGACACCTTTACACTGGGCCTTGAGAATGTGTAATTTAACAGTTTTGGAAGTTACTTAAAAATGTAAATCTTTGGGGCTGGCCCCGTGGCCGAGTGGTTAAGTTCGAGCGCTCCGCTGCAGGCGGCCCAGTGTTTCGTCAGTTTGAATCCTGGGCGCGGACATGGCACTGCTCATCAAACCACGCTGAGGCAGTGTCCCACATGCCACAACTAGAAGGACCCACAACTAAGAATATGCAACTATGTACCGGGGGGCTTTGGGGAGAAAAAGGAAAAAAAATAAAATCTTTAAAAAAAAAACATGTAAATCTTTTAAAATTAGGTTTAAAATGTATCTTTACTTTATTGGCCAATCAATACACAACAAGCTATTTTTCTTAGCTTAGGAAATACAATCACACACTCTAAAACTTTTCTTGACCATAAATTTGTTGTATAGAGTAGAGAGAGTTCATGCTCCACTACCATACTGCCTGGATTCTAATCCCAACACTTAGTAGCCAAGCCACTCTGGAGAAGTTGCTTAACCTCTCTGAACCTCTATTTTTATCTGTAAAATGCAGATAAGATCTACTTTCATTGGATTATTTTAAACATTAAATAATATAATCCATGTAAATGGTTTAGCGCAGTATCTGACACACAGTGCTAAAAAATGTTAGTTCTTCCTCTGGACATTATTATATAATAGTTTTATCATTAAATCATTGGCCCTGATTTTATTTTTTTTAAAGTACTGCATCCACTTATAACCCCACATTCTCCATATCATAAACACATTCAAATAGATTCACCAAAGTAAATTCTCACCTTCGTTTTGTTCAAATTCATCTAACACCTTGTCCAGGTTGTAAGCTTCTGCTTGGAAGTAATTCTCCATCGGTGAGAAAACACCACTCAGAGATGTTTAAACCTAGAAAGTAGGTCAAATTTGTATTATACTTTCAATTATTAAAATATAATTTATACACATTACAACTGATACAACAGAAATACAAAGGATCATAAGAGACTACTATGAACAGTTATACGCCAACCAATTGGACGACCTAGATGAAATGAATAAATTCCTAGATACAAACAACCTACCAAGACTGAATCATGAAGAAACAGAAAATCTAAATGGATCAATTATTAATAAGGAGATTGAATTAGTAATTAAAAACCACCCAACAAAGAAAAGTCCAGGACCAGACGGCTTCACTGATAAATTCTACCAAACATTTAAAGAAGAATTAATACCAACCCTTCTCAAACTCTTTCAAAGAACAGAAGAGTAGGGAACACTTCCAAATTCATTTTACAAGGCCAGCATCACTTTGACACTAAAACCAGATAAGGACACTGCAAAAAAAGAAAATTATAGGCCAATACCTCTGATGAACAAAGATAAAAAATCCTCAAAAAAATATTAGCAAACTGTGGGACGTAAGGATGATTCAACATCCATAAATCAATCAATATGATATACTACATTGACAAATGAAGGATAAAAATCATACGATCCTCTCAACAGATGCAGAGAATGCATCAGACAAAATTCAACATCCATTCATGATAAGAACTCTCAACAGAGTGGGTACAGAGACAATGTACCTCAACATAATAAAGCCATATGTGACAAGCCCACAGCTAACATCATACTCAACAGTGAAAAGATGAAAGCTTCTCCTCTAAGATCAGGAATAAGACAAGGCAGTTCATTCTCACCACTTTTATTCACATAGTACTGGAAGTCCTAGCCAGAACAATCAGGCAAGAAAAAGAAATAAAATGTATCTGAATCAGAAAGGAAGAAGCAAAACTGTCTCTAGACCAGGTGACATGATGTTATAGTAGCAAACGCTAAAGATGCCACCAAAAAACTGTTAGAACTAATAAATGAATTCAGTAAAGTTGCAGGATACAAAGTCAACACAAAAATCAGTTGCATTTCTATACACTAACAACAAACTATCAGAAAGCAAACAGTTCCATTTACAATTGCATCAAAAAGAACAAAATACCTAGGAATAAATTTAATCAAGGAGGTGAAAGATCTGTACACTGAAAACTCTAAGACATTGATGAAATAAACTGAAGACACAAATAAATGGAAAGATATTCCATGCTCATGGATTGGAAGAAGTAATATTGTTAAAATGTCCATAATACCCAAAACTCAAATCTCCAGATTCAGTGCAATCCTTATCAAATTTCCAATAGCATTTTTCACAGAAATAAAAAATAATAAGGGGTCAGCCTGTCAGCGCAGTGGTTAAGTTTGCATGTTCTGCTTCTGTGGCCCGGGATTTGCCGGTTTTGATCCCAGGTACAGACCTACACACCGCTTGTCAAGCCATGCTGTGGTAGGCATCCCACATATAAAGTAGAGAAAGATGGGCATGGATGTTAGCTCAGGGCCAGTCTTCCTCAGCAAAAAAGAGGACTGGCAGCAGATGTTAGCTCAGAGATAATCTTCCTCAAAAAATAAAATAAAATAAATAATAAAATCCTAAAATTTATATAGAACCACAAAAGACACCAAATAGCCAAAGCAATTTTGAGAAAGAACAAGGCTGTAGCCATCACACTTCCCAATTTAAAACTACATTACAAAGCCATAGTAATCAAAACAGTATGGTACTGGCATAAAAACAGACACATAGATCAATGGAACAGAACAGAGAGCCCAGAAAAAAACCCACACATAAACAGTCAATTAATTTACAACAAAGGGGCCAAGAACACACAATGGGGAAAGGATATTCTCTTCAACAAATTGTGTGAGGAAAACTGGACAACCACATGCAAAAGAACGAAACTGGATACCTATCTTACGCCATACACAAAAATCAACTCAAATGGATTAAAGACTTGAACATAAGACCTGAAACCATAAACCTCCTGCAAGAAAATATAGGTGGTAAGTCCCTTGACATTGGTCTTGGTGATGATTTTTTAGATCTGACACCAAAGAAAGGGTAATAAAAGTAAAAATCAACAAGTGGGACTACATCAAACTAAAATGCTTCTGTTCAGCAAAGGAAACCATCAACAAAATGAAAAGGCAACCTACAGAATGGGAGAAAATATTTGCAAATCATATATCTGACAAGGGGTTAATATCCAAAATATATAAAAAACTTATACAACTCAATAGCAGAAAAAAACAAAACACAGTGATTTTTTTAAATGGTCAGAGGAGTTAAACAGATATTTTTCCAAAAAAGACATACAGATGGCCAACAGGTATACAAAAACCATCATTAATAATCAAATAAAGCAAATCAAAACTACAATGAGATATCATCTCACACCTGTCAGAACAGCCATTAGCAAAAAGACAAGAGATAAGTGTTGACAAGGATGTGGAGAAAAGGGAACATTTGCACACTGTTGGTGAGAATCTAAATTGGTGGAGACATGATGGAAAACAGTATGGGGATTCTCCAAAAATTACGTAAAACTAGAACTACCACATGATCCAATAACTCCACTTCTGGGTATAGATACCAAGGAAACAAAATCACTATCTCGAAGAGATATTGGCATCCCCATGTTCTTTGCAGCATTAAAGCACTAATATATAAAATATTACTCACCCATAAAAAGGAAAGAAACCTTGCCATTTGCAACAACATGAATGGGCCTTGAGGGCATTATGCTAAGTGAAATAAATCAGAGAAAGAAAAATATCATATGATCTCACTTATATATGGATTCTGAAAAAACTTAACTCATGGAAACAAAGAAAAGATTGGTGGCTGCCAGAGGCAGAGAGTGGGGAGCGGGGGAAATGGATAAAGATGGTCAAAAGGTGCGAACTTTTGGTTATAAGATAAATAAGTTCTGGAGATATAAGGTACACCATGGTGACTATAGTTAACAATACTGTATTTTATATTTGAAAGTTGCTAAGAAAGTAAATCTTAAAAGTTCTCATTACAAGAAAAAAAACTGTAACTATATGAGGTGATGGACGTTAACTAAACTTATTGTGGTAATCATTTCATAATAGATACATATATTAAATCATTATGTTGTGCACCTTAAACTAATACAATATTTCCTGTCAATTATATCTCAATAAATCTGGAAAAAGTGAAAAAAATACAAAGATTTAAGAATTAAATTTCTTATAAATCTACTCATCAGGATAAACTATAAAACCTGTCATCCCTATAAAATCTGTCACCACATTAGATATATTATAAGATCTTTAAGCTAATAAAGTCTAGAAACCTGTAAGCTGATAATCATTAAAATGTAACTAAATGTAGAAGGCAGACTCAGTGATCATTTCAATAGGACATGCTTCTAAAGATAAATTTCAAATGCTGAGAGAGGAATCACTTTCTTTGGGATAAAACTACCTTTCTACTAGAAAAGAAAGCTCACAGGATTTTTTTTTTTTTTTTTTTTTTTGAGGAAGATTAGCCCTGAGCTAACATCTGCCACCAAGCCTCCTCTTTTTGCTGAGGAAGACTGGCCCTGAGCCAACATCCGTGCCCATCTTCCTCTACTTTATATGTGGGACGCCTGCCACAGCATGGCTTGCCAAGTAGTGCCATGTCCGCACCTGGGATCCAAACCGGTGAACCCCAGGCCACCGAAGCGGAACGTGTGAACTTACCCGCAGCGCCACCAGGCCGGCCCCTTACAGGATGTTTTTCAAATGGAAAATGACAAGAAAGTTCAAGCAAGCATGGGGGTCAGCGCTACTAGTTCCAAAATGCTCTGAATTGGTTATTCTTTCTAAACTTCTCCCTTTCGAACACCATTTCTATGTCTTTCTTGGTATTAATTGATGTATTCTGTGGGCATAAACACTAGATGTATCAACTATTTAATGGAATGTCAAGAACACACAGTGGTTGTTAAATAAATTGTCCCATTTTTTTCCCCTCCATTACCACGATCCTAATGCTCAGTAACGCCTTAATTTCTCGAAATTTTCCTTTCAAACTGAAAATTCTGCTTGGCTTCTTACTGGTATATATAGAGGCAGATAGGATAGGAGACAAGATTACAATTCCCTTAACAAGTCTGAGTACGGAAAACATGAAGAAGAGAGAAAATCGAAAATGTAATATCCTGCTATTACAAAATTTAAGTCAAATATAAAAAGTGGTGAATTTCCTTTGACCTAGGGCGTTTCTTCTTCTCTGATGCATATAAAAGTATCAATATTGTTTCTCTCATTTTACTAATAAAAACAAGCTCAGGAGATTTAACTGACTTATTCAAGTATTTCCCCATGATTATTAATTTGGTTAATGTTTACTTATTGACTGGCTCCTGTTAGGCAATTTAAGTTTAGGTCGACAAATAGGCTACATAATCTATGAATGGTTTTTCTTAAATCTATCTTTTGTATCTAGTCATTTACAGTTCAAAATCATTTTCATATACATGCCATTTTACTTTGATAAAGACAACATATTTAAACCGTCCAATGCTAAGAGCATAAAAGAAATTTCTCACAACACATAATCTAGCACATTTATTATACACCTCCAACACTTAGCATTCCATGGTCATTATATCTAAAATATTAGCAAACAAATAATCATATCAACTTATCTATTGTGCATAAATAAATGCAGGGTATTGTGATCAACTCAAGTCTCAGACATCATCCCTACCATAAAGCAGCTTATAATTTACTTAATGGTAAACAATGCTAAATAAGAAAATTTAATAATAATAAATTATTTTAATAACAACACAGCTCAAGAGACACACGGTACTTTGTCAGATAAAATTAAAAGGTAAGTGCACATAAAAGTTCAAGAAATGGGCCAGATCACAGTCTGGATGGTCGAGAAAGGCATTATTTATAGTTGAACTGGGTCTAGAGAATGGATAAAATTTTAACAGATATTCCAGATGGGAAAATGCAGAAGTAAAATTTCAAACACAGAGAGACAT